ATTTTCCCCTAAGCTTCTTAGGTTTATCTTTTGTTCCTAGTCTTTTATCTGTTATAGCAGATTTCCAACCAACTGAAGACTGTAAACTGCTCCAAACATGCCAGCCTCAGGTGGTCCTTCAGAATCAGAGAGCCCTGGACTTGCTTAAAGCTGATGTAAACCAGACGAGTCTGACAAACATCGTATCAGCTTGAACCCCAGCTTTGGAACAGCATTGCAGACTGCTTCAAAGCTACCTGTACTTCACTAGCCTCAGGTGGTCCAAAAGAACCTGGGCAGCAAACCAGATATATCCTTCCCCATCTTGGCCTTTGACTAGCATTCTAGCCCTCCTGGGCCCTAACAATGACATCCTGATTTTAGCTGAGAAGTAGTTACAGAAGAGAGTTGTCACCCCTTATCATTAACAAACAAACAAACAAAAAACTAGACTGTTAAAGCAAAAGAAAACTAGCTCCCCTTTACCTTTACCAAAGGGAGTCACTTCCCTTCTCTCTGGCAAAAGGGACAAATAGCTATGTATGATGCCTCTTGGCATACCAAAGCCCATGCTTTTCTCCAGGCACCTTCAGTATTGCAAATACCTGTTAAAATCAGAGTTATAAAAACTTAGAGAAAGAGTTACTCAGGATAGGGGTTGAGATCTGATTTGTTGGCTTCATGGTTACTGAATTTTACCTTGGTAAAGCAAATGGTTATTTTCTTTGTTATATGCATCCTAATGCTCATTTGTTGTCAAACACTATAAATACCAGGGATCCTAAAATTAATTCCCCAACTCATTCTCCTTGAGTCAGTGGGGATTGTAATGGACTAGAACCCCCTCCTTTTGTTACTTCTGGATGTTACCATAGGCCTTTGTTACATGTATAAAAAGTCATCACATTAAGATACCATCCTTTAGCCTTACACAAAAAGGAATCAATGATTTGATTCATGTGATCTAAAGCCAGTGGGGAATGTGAGGGAAAAAACAAAACAAACAAAAATTCTCCATTGTATGCTACGCATTCCATCTTAGTACCCACTAGCCAATTGTCTCTGACTCCAGTCCCTGGAAGACAAGTTCCCAGTGACCCTCCCCCTCAAAAATGTACATCTGTGACTATCTACTCATTATTATATAACTGATTGTTTTCTGGCTTCTGTAACCTGATTATGCAGATATTCAAGGAGTATTTTGAGGTTGCCTTTGACTACCTAATTATGGCAGAGCAGAACAGCTCTTGATTTGCTTGTGCAGATACAAAGTTCTTCTTGTGGTTTTCACCTTTAAAAATGTCCCCCTTTTGCTTGGCAACCTCAAGTTTGGCTCAGGGATTGTTGTACTGCTAGCAGCTTTAATAAGTGTAACTAATTATAATCTGGATTAAGTCTATGTTCTTTTTTCCCCAGATGTCACAAAGTCCATAACACAAAAAGCTTTCTAAATGTACTTTACCACTCTTGACCCACTGGCTCTGGAAAAGCTTAGGGCACTAATTTTGCCTTTTGTTACTCAGTAAGCCCAAGATATTCACAATGTAAACTCCAAAAGCTAGAAGCTTTTGCTGGAATGACCACCTTCTATTTCACTGAAGTGACCCAAATAACAGATGATAAAAAGCAGAAACAAGCTGCCTTGACTGCTGAGTGAGCTATAGGTACATATTATGATGGCTGCTTTCCAGTCAACTATGCCCAAGCTCTCTACTGCTTGTGTCCAGAAGACAGATCCTCCTAAAAATGGGGAAGATGAAAAAGGCCCTACTGGAAAGGGATCAACGTACTTACTGTAAAGAAAAGTGACACAGAAAGAATAAATGCCTTAGTCAACCCAAGTCCAGGAAAGCAATGATATGACCTTCCTTGACCACAAGGGAGATGAATAGTGAATCAGAATGAAAGACCTGAGGCTCTTCACTTTTAGGTGTCCAATATCCCTTGTTCACCCTGTCAACAGGAGACCACCAAATTCAGTCTTTATTAGACACAAGGGCAGATGTTTCTATTTTTAAAACTCTAATGGGGCTGATTACAAATAAAAAGAAGCCAATATAGGAAGATGTGGTGATGATTAAGGGCAATCACCTCACGTCCGAAAGAATGATTAGCCTGGGCCACAGAAAATTGACTCATTCCTTCATGGTCGTTACAGATTTCCCCTTTCCTCCTTCTAGGCAGAGATCCTCTTTAAAAGTAAGGCATCACCATGACCTTTACTCCTCCAAAAACCCTAAACTTTCCTTTGCAGCTGTCTACCAACAGCTAAGCTGTTAAGTTAAGCTAACTTAGCTTAACTTAACAACTCTACCAACAGCTAAGCTGTTAAGTTAAGCTAACTTAGCTTAACTGACCCTTTATCTAAAGAAAGCCTTCTTGCTCTTCCAGATTCTACAGAGGAAAGAAATCCAGAACCAGGGTTCCTACTCCAGGACTTGCAATGACAGTTTCCTAAGATATAGGCTGAGGCAAATCCTTCAGTCTTTGTAGTAGCAATGACCCATCAGCTGTGCTAATCCTCCTGGCTACAGCCACAAAGATAAGGATCCAGCAATATCTCATGAACTAAAAGACTAGACCTGGAACATGACTTTCTTGCCTGTCCAAACCAAAGACCTCAGATTATTGCCTAGTCCAGGATCTGAAATCATTCACTCATCTGTTCAAATACATATACTGTACTCAGTCTCCTCCCTGCCAGAGTACCAGGTCTATATGGTCCTAGACCCCAAAGATACTTTCCTTTTCATTCCCCTGACACCAGTGAAACAGCCCATATTTGCCTTTGAATGGACTGGTCCAATGTACAATGAAATTAATCAACTATCCTGGAAATGACTATGCTAAGGGTTCAAAATATCCCTCTACCACCCTTTAGGGAAGCATTACAGAAAAAGACTGAACAGGAGTTAGGGTGCCCAAGAAAATAGTGGCTTCCAGACACAATAGAACTGACACACACATGAATTCACAGAGACTGTGGCAGCATGCACAAGGCCTGCATAGGTTCAAGCAGACAGGTCCCAGTGCTGAAAATGGGAAATGGACACAATTTTCTAACTAAAAAATAGGTGTCTTCAATTGATAACTACTAGCAACAAAAAAATCAGTTTTCACCAATGGAGTCTCACTGGTTTTATAAACCACACATAAGGGGTAAGTTTCATACCCAGCAGTAGATGCTCAACAGAAAACAAACTCAATGCTTTTTTTTTTTTTTTTTTTTTTTTTTGTAAATTTGTTTTCCAATATTGCTTTGTTTGGTTAAGTTTAAAATCTTACTGATCTTTTGTTTGTATAGTATGGTTTCTAATATATATATTTGCTTTTTGTGTGTGTTTCTTATGCATTTTTTACTGTAGTTTTTGATCCTGGTTTGTTCACTTTGTATTTGCCTGCTTATTTTCTAAAGGGTAAGAGAAGACATGGGTTTGAATGGGTGGATAAGCAGGGAAGATATGGAAGGAGATGGGGAGAGGAAACATAATCAGAATACATTTTATGTTTTTTCAATTTAAAAAACTGAGACATTGCTATTAACTGTTGCAGTTTTGGCTTTATTTTATCTTGAACTCTCAAAATTACATAATGACTTTTAAGCATATGAATCATGTTCAACAATACATAGCATCTTTATTCAATGTGAAAAGTATGAAGTTAGCATGTCTTTTAATACAAGCAGAAATACAAATAAACCACAAATACAAGTATTTAAAACCATCTGTGTTCAGTAACTAGTAGAGTTTGTTTTCTAAAGACAGAATATAAATTCTTGGCCTTGGTTAACACTTAATTACTATTTCCAATAAGTAATCAATATTATTAGCACCAATTTTGAGTTAATCTTATCTCACCAGTTATATGATGTGATAAGCAGTAGCAAGAACAATTATCCATGTTTCAATTAAAAGTTTTATATTATTAAATTCCAAACAAGTCCGACTAGTGTACCTTTCAATAGTGAACATCCTAGATGCCTGAAAACATGGTATAAGATGGAGGACTTCCATAGGCAGAAACCAGCCTCTGTACTGTTTCTGACTCTCTAAATGCACACACACAGTTCATAGAATAAGAGCATCCTATTTATAAACAGCTCCTCATTCCATTTGTATCAATATAAAGTACCATTTTAAATTGAAAATAAAGTATTTACTTCTGTACATTTTTAGTACAAGAGTAATAGCTCCATGAAGAATAAGCACAAAATATAATATATATTCGATTTAAGAAATTTGAGTATAAGTACCTTCAGATATACACTTAGATTAATGTCCAACATTGATAAAAATATGAAGGCTTTAAGGATGCATCTTAAAACTATAGTCAGGTTTCTTTCAAACTACTGTTTAGGTACAATTCTTAGATAAAATGAATAATCATTGTACATATCCTAAAATTTATTTAAAATTTGTAAGAATATTAGTTGCCTGAAGTTCCTCAGATTCTTTATAAGCTTTATTTTCTCCTTCTAAATCTGAACAGAGGAGAATAAATTATATGGCTGTTGGGTTATTATTTTTTTTAATAAAAACTGGTAGGACATGAAAAGTATACTACAGTAATGTATAGACAAAATATCCAAGAAGGGTAACTATATATCATTCTTTAATTTCTCTTCTGTGAAAAATTTTCACCACTTTAATTATGGGAGTTATTAAGTTTCTTCTATTTCCTCTTTAGTTGCTTTAAAAACATGTATCGTAAGGTACATGTTTTAAACAAAAACATGTTTACCTTTTTGGTTTAAAGGTAAACCAAAATCAAAGGTAGCTTTTTTGTTTTTTGTACAGAGCATATTTATAATCTATAAAATGAAAAATCTAAAGAAGACTGAATAAACTTCCAGCCTGCATATGCTAATAATAATAATATGTTAAATGTATCTTGAAAGAGACTTCAACTACTTTTTCAGTTTTAGTTAGAACGTATTTTAGGTGAATCTTCTCCAAAACAAATCAACTGTGTATTAAGAAAGTCTTTATGAGAGCACTTAAATTCTACAAACATTTTTATTTTTACTGGCTACCGTTTACTTCTTTAAGCTTTTTAATGTAGCTGACAAACTTGATGACTACTCCCACCATCACCTCCGTATATTTTATCCTTGTATCAGTACTGATAAGCATCAGGGCCTTCCCGTTGACATCCTATAAAGAGAAGTTCAAAATCATTAATAATACTGTTATATTTGATAAATAGATGTTTCTTTGTATATAAGAACATGTAAAACTGAATCCTCTCATTATAGTTATAACGTCTCTGAATATATACCTCCTGTATAAAACTATCTTTGCACAAAATTCATCACTCTGAAGCTTATATATTCAATCTCAATTTTAAGAAAAAAGCAAATTTATATTAGGAATTTAAAATTATACTAGATGATCTAAATTTTAAATGTTGTTGAATAAAATACTGTGTATCTATGACGAGAGTAAAAAGAATGGGAGAAATGTATTTCATGGCTATTAACTTTCAGACACAGGTTAGGGATATATCAACATCAATGCAAACTGTAAATGTGTTTGACAGTCTTATCTTTATATGAAAGTGAGTTACTTGTCTGAAGCGAATTAGATGTTAAGACGAATTATTTTCTTTCTATATTCAAAATAGTACATGTGTTGTATAGACACTCTACTATTTTATAGCCACAAGGCATCTTCATAAAAATTCTTTGCCATCACCTTATGCTATTGAAGCATATTATTTGTTTTCATACATTCCAACATAAAATAAAACTTGATTTAATCACAGTCTTGCCTAAAAAGACCCAAAATATCTTATAATAGTAAGTAAAATTAGAAAGGAAAGGGAGTAGAACTGATTAAAATTCAGCTCATGACAAGAGAAAGAATTCAAAAAGAATATAAATGGGAAAACAGAAGCCAAATTATCTGTATTTGCCACTCATATGACCCTATATTTACAAACCTCTAAAGATGCCAGCAGAAAACTGTTAGAGCTGATAAATACAATACAAAATTGACATATAAAAACCATTAGCTTTCTACCTGGGTCACTTCATTCCTTCTTAGGTAACTGGAAATCCCCTGCTCCCAGGAGTTTGTCGTATTGATACCCAACTTTGTTTGAACACCTTGTAGGCATAGCACACCACAGTCTAGAACTACTGGACTCAAGTGAGTCTCCTGCCTCAGCCTCCCACTTTGTTAGGACTATAGGAATGTTTGGCATAAATGTTATGGGAATGGCCAGCCACATTCTGATTGGATTTAAAGCCTGAGCCACAAGACAGAATTCATCTAAAAACCTATGGCTGAATAGGTCATACGTCCTAGGTGAGAACTACTTCTTCTCAATGAACATAATCAATAAACTTCCCCATAACTTCTTATCTTTGTATATATATTAGTGCACGTTTTGGCTTCTTTTTCTAGGACATGGTTGTTAGTACAGATACCCATAACTGGTCCAAACGCAGGGATTGCCCTCATGCTGCCACCCTGCCACCCAAGGCTCAGAAATTATCTTGGAAGAGATGACAAAAAGAGTCTAAGAATCAGAAGTAGTGGACACCTGTAGGGAAATTCTCAAATCAGAATAAAAGTAGCCTGTATTTTAGTTTTTTTTAAGTGTGTGTGTGTGTGTGTGTATTTTTTGCCAAGAAAGCAGAAACAATCAAATCTTTAAGTCACCAAAAAAACTTAAGAACTAGGAAAAAAGAAAAAAATTAACCAATTTGTTGCTTTGTAAATAGTCATCAGCATCACAAATTATCAATAGTCACATAAAGTAAACAGAAGTGACCACCTGGAATTAATTTCTGGCTATCATAACAAGAGGTACTTGTTATCATAACAATGCTACTCTGGTATGTATTGTGGGTTGTTCTGAACAAACTCAGAGATATCTTGCCTGCCTCTCAAGAGTGCTGAAATTATAGGTGTATGCCACTGTGCCCAGCCTGGAACACACACACACACACACACACACACACACACACACACACACACACACACACACACACA